CGCACGCGCACACGCACACGCACACGCACAGCGGGCTGCGCAACGCGCACGATCGCACCGCGCAACGCGCACCTGCGCAGCGCCAACGCGACACGCACACGCACACGCACACGCACACTCCGCAACTGCGCACGCGCACGTCGCACCGCACACGCACACGCGCACGCGCACGCGCACGCGCACGCGCACGCGCACGCGCACGCGCACGCGCACGTGCACGCGCACGCGCACGCGCACGCGCACGCGCACGCGCACGCGCACGCGCACGCGCACGCGCACGCGCACGCGCACGCGCACGCGCACGCGCACGCGCACGCTCACGCGCACGCTCACGCTCACGCTCACGCACACGCACACGCACACGCACACGCACACGCACACGCACACGCACACGCACACGCACACGCACACGCACACGCACACGCACACGCACACGCACACGCACACGCACACGCACACGCACACGCACACACACACACACACACACGCACACGCACCCACAACACACACACACGCACTACACCACACACACATAACGCACACCACACGCAACGCGCGAGCGCACGCGCGCACGCACAACGCACGCGCACGCGCACGCGCACGCGCCAACACACACACACACACACACACACACACACACACACACCACACACCACACACACCACACACACACACACGACACGCACGCACGCACGCACGCAACGCACGCACACCTCAACTGCACGAACACGCACGCCCGCCACACCCACACAAACTCACATCCAAGCTCGACTAAACTTTTTCCTTTTCGCCCCCCCCCCCCCCCGAAACGAAAAAGGGAAAATAAACAAAATAAATAGAAGAACTCCTGATTATTTGTATCGGGGAAAGGGAAGAAGGAAATCCCGCCCACACAGACACAGACACAGACACAGACACAGACACAAACACAGACACAGACACATACACCGACACTGACACTGACACTGACACACACACACACACCAACACCAACACCAGCACCAGCACCAGCACCGACCGCCACCACCAGCACCAGCACCAGCACCAGCACCAGCAACAGCACCAACACCAGAATTAGCACCAACATCAGCACCAACACCAGCACCACCATCACCACCACCTCCTCCCCCTCCTCATCACCACCACCTCCTCTCCCTCCTACTCCCTATTCCTGCGGGATTTGTTCTCTTTCCCCCCGGGAAAAACAGGGAAACATGACAAAAAAACAGAGGGCGTCCGACGTCCGGATGTTTGCTTCGGGGGGGGGCAGGAAAATCTCGCCCACGCACGCGCGCGCGCGCACACGCACGCGCGCATTCTTTTGTCGGCGGCGGGGCAAAGGGCAACTGGTCCAGCGGATAGGCAACAGGGGACACGCTGTATGCAAATTAGGGCCGCAATGCATGGAAGGAGGGGGGGGCCCGGCGCGACGGGAACAACGGAAGCTGGGCCTGCCGGCCGCGGCGAGGGGGGCGCCGGGGGGGAGCAGCGCCGGCAGCGTTGAACTGCGCTGAGCTGAAGCTGGGGGGGGCAGCCAGGAGCTGCAGCTGGCGGTGAAGAGAGAGCGAAGCGTGGCCCCACCCGGTGGACCGAGCACAGTCCAGGGATGAGCCAATGCACCGAAGCGGCGGGCCTGCGAGGCGCGCGCGAGGACGCGGGGGCGGCCGAGACGGACCCGCTGCAGTTGAAGGCGCTGCGCCGCGGGCACAAGGGAGGGCGCGGGCGCTGGATGGCACTGAGCTGGGCGCGGCTGATCGAGGCAGGTGCCAAGCGGCACAGAACAGAAGCAGAGGAGAGGCAGCCGCGGGGGCGGTGCCCAACCCTGTGGACCAAGGCGCGGTCAAAGGATGAATCAAAACGCCGAGACCTGCGGGTCTGCGAGGCGCGGGCGCGAGGGGCGGAAGACAGGGGCGGCGCCGCTCGGGCAGAGCAGACTAGCGCCCAGAGCCTCGACCCGCGCCAACGGGAAGGAACCCCGGCGTCGGCAACGGCGGGGCGCGCCGAGATCAGGCAGAACATGGGAAGCGCGACGGGGAGGACGGCCCGGCGGGGCGCGGCGCGGCGCCCAGGGCGGCGAAGGAGCAGGGCACCGCCAGGTGGGGGAGCGGTGGGCCCAGGGCAGCCAGAACGAGGGGGGGCGCGGGGGGGCGGCGGGCCCGAACGCCAGCCGGCGGCGGGCAGGAAGGCGGCGCCCAGCGGGGGGCGGCAAGCCAAGCGGTCGAACGGGCGGGCCCAGGTGCAGAGAGCCTCCTCCTCCTCCTCCTCCTCCTCCTCCTCCTCCTCCTCCTCCTCCTCCTCCTCCTCCTCCTCCTCCTCCTCCTCCTCCTCCTCCTCCTCCTCCTCCTACAGCGGCCAGACGCCGGTGGCCGGGCGCTGGGGAGGTGGCCAGAAAACCATGCAGAAGGGGGGCGGGGGGCGCAGGCGCCGAAGCGAATGTCGCCCGGCTGGCGGCGCACGGCAAGGGCCAGATGGGGCGCCGCAGGCAGGGCCTGGTCAAAACCCCCAGAAGGCCGGCGCCCCAAGAGGCAGGGGGCAGCGGCGGAGCAGGGCGCCCCAAGGCGGGCAGGAGGGGCGGCCTACTCCGCGTCCGCGATCGCGGAAACGGACCGCCGCCGCTGAGGAGTGACGCCTGGCCCTGGGGGCTGCCTGGCCTTCCGGCCGCCCTGCAGCGCAAAGTGACGCCTGCCAATAATCTCACGCGTTTCGCCTGCCGCCTGTGTCGTGAGGCTATTATCCGTCGGATCCCTTGGTCCCTGGAGAATCCGCGTACCTCGCGTCTTTGGGTGTGTAATTCAATCTACTAGGCAGAAGAATGTGAGTATTGTGTACACCGATTTCTGCATGCGGGCTGGGCCTTTTACCACATCCACCACGTTCGTCTCCGATCTTGTCGATCTCTCTGGGCTTGCTGCTCGCAGGTGCCTCGGCAGCCGCCGGATGCGCGCCCGCGCAGGCGAGGCCCATCAGCAGTTAGTTGGCAAACGTCAGGACGGTGTGTTTTGGACCAGAGTTGCTGAACCATACCCAGCCCCTCTCTGCAGTTTCACGAAGGTCACGAGCGGGCGGCAAGACTAGCCAGCTGCGACAGGGCAAACCCGGAAAAGGCGGCGACGAAGGGAACCGGCCAAGCGCTGGCTCAAGCGCAGGCGGGCCCCACGCATGGGCGCGAGAAGAAGGCGAACCTCGAGCGGCTGGAGGCTTGCGGGGGGGCTGCCGAACAGGCGCGCGATGAAAAGCAGCCGCGGGGGCAGGGGGGGGGGGCGGCGGGCGAGCCCCGAGCGAGGGCCGGGGGCCTGCGGGGGGGCACCGAATAAGTGCACGACGCGAGAAAGCCACGAA